AGAGAAACTCTGTTACATTTTACATGTAATACAATAAATAACAAACGCTTTTAAGTCTATCATATTTATTGAGTTTTATTAATGTTTATCATTCTTTTATCCAGTATCCAGCTTCTTTTCAAAATACCTGTATGTTTTGTGCATTCTCACAATGTGCAAAATAAATTAAATAGCCAATTAGAAAAACAATATGATCTAATTTTCTACGATAGAAATAAAAATATATAACAATGAATTTTGTTTAATCATTAATTACGTCATATAAAATGGCAAAAATTATCATGATTAAATTATCATTATCAAATTAACGATAAATTAAGCATTAATATTCGATAACAATATCGATAATGATATTAATGCAATGAGATCGTTATATCCGAAATTATATATCAGATACGTAATTTATTTTGGTAAAATGCTTCAATAAATATTAATAATTTACATAACATACGGAACACACAAAACATTCAATTAATTTTTTTTTCGATTTCGGCAACATTAATCTTATCAAATCGATTTTCTACAATCAATATCTTATACATATATAATAAAATTCTTATTTTGATATTTTATTTTGAATTTTGTAAAATGTTGTTCAAGTAATGCGAAAATATGTATAAGATATGAATTCGTATATGTATTTTTGTAAGACGATTTAGAAAATTAAAAAATGTTTTAACTTTTTTCTAAATGTATACAAAAAACATAACAAGTTAAAATTTTGCAATTTAACAAGTTATATCTTTTTAGAAACCAATTATTTTTAGCAGAAAAAGATACATTTCTTTTTAAACACATGATTTTTTTGCTTAATTCTGTTCTTATTATTGTACATATAAAAATAAAATTATTGAAAAGTAAATGCAAGTACATGTAATCTTTGCAAGCTACTTTAATCAAATATATTTTAACATAAAATATAAAGTATTTCAAAAATGAAGTAAAACTTACTATTTGATAGTAATCTTATCTTGATAATTTTATATTCAGAATAATAAAAAAAGATTAAGTTATGTTAAAATAATGTATAACAAAATTTTATAAAGTTCCAGTATATTAAAAAATGTCTTCAACATAAAGTAAAAACCATATGTCTGTGTTTTTATTGATGAGCAATGAAGCAATGAAGAAATGAATGGAATGATCTTTTTCCATAAAAATGATTTCCTTCTTATCACATATTTGCCAATCGTTCAAGCGTGCATTGATAATAATGTTTACTATCAATAATAAATATTTAATTAAGCTGAGTTATTATATGCAATTATTTCTATTTGCTTTTACGTTTTATATTTTACAATACGTATAAATGATCGCGAATAAACAATACAAATAAACAATATTAAAGTGATACATTTGATATGTTTAATTATCATGCATGCATTATTCTACTTCGTTTACCTTAAACTGTGAGATGTAATTAAGCAATCTTCAATACTTTCATATCTGTTTTATCACAATGTAGAATACATGCAATGTCATCGTGTTTATTTACCGTAAAAAATGCGATCAGTCCTGTTCACCGAGGAATATTGATATCAATCCTATAAAAGAAAGTGGAAACTGTTATGCTTATTTTTATTTTTGACCCAGCTTACACCCATCCGCAAGCATGCAGTCTTTTGCTGTCTTCTTTGTGATTGGCGTTCTTGCGCAACATAAGTAAAGAAGCATCGAATAATTCAACAAGATATTATTCTCGTATCTGCAATAAATATTTTATTAATTTATCCATACGCATTTGTCGTACCTAAAACAATGTAGACTGTTTTATGAAAAATATCTATTGTACATATTGATTTACAGAGACGTTCGCTGACGAGCCCGAAGCGATCGTCGGCGGTACGGCTGCCGCGCCGGGCGAATTCCCGTGGCAATGTCCCTTGCAACAAAATGGTCAACACATTTGCGGTTGTTCCATCATTGGCCGCGATAAAATTTTGACCGCCGCTCATTGTGTGAAGGACATTTTCTATCCACCCTACTCCGATTAGCCGCGTTGTCACTGGAACCATTAATGTCAAACAAGGACAAATCTCACACTGTGAAGAGTATTCGCAGACATCCCAATTATGTGGATAGTGTATCGGAATCTTGGGTGAATGACGTCGCCGTGATCACCGTAAGTCGATATTAATTACGAGATATGTAATTTAGTATTTTTAAAACTCTGAAAGTTTTTTGTTAAAACTGTGTACAGTTTCGTCTTCGTACTATTTCGTTCAGCCGTGCATTTCACTCAATTGTATTATTCATTTCAGCTCAATCAACCGATATAGTTTAACAAACAACAATCTCCTATCTGCTTGGCCGACAGTCCGCCAGTGGCTGGCATGAAATGCACTTTGTCTGGATGGAGTATAATAAGGGCCAATGGACCTCTTCCGACGTATCTTCTTAAGATGGAGCAGGCCCTAGTCACTAATGAACAATGTGAACAAGACAACAGAATGAAGATATATCCAAGCCATTTGTGTGCATACAATAAGCGTGGAATCGGCGCTTGCCAGGTAATTATGCAATAACATCTTTCATTGAGTATGTGCAGTATTTATGTATCTATAGATAATTGATTCGCTACTTTGTACAGTTACTCATAATATTGAAGATTTAAATAAAGATTAACATCTTTTAATAAATGTCTTTTTGCACTTATTAGGGTGACAGCGGCGGTCCACTTGTCTGCAATGGCCGACAGTACGGTATCACTTTTTGGGTTCTTCCTTGCGCTCGCGGTGTTCCCGATGCTTACACCAGCGTCTATCATCATCGGGATTTCATCCGAAGCTCATAAATGATATACAGATTTTGGCACAATATGAAGGCACAATATGAATCGATTTAATTATGTCAACTCACCGCGTCAACGTATCAAAAGAACAGCCCGTTGTGATATTCGGGAAAAGCGCAACAATACATCGGTTGCGTTTTTAAAATACATGAAACTCTTCTGTATTTGTTCTTCTTCTACTGAATAGAATAAATAATTAGCACTTTTAAATCTACTGTACGTATTGATTTTTATTAATATCTGTCATCCTTTTATCCGGTATTTAACGTTTTTTGAAATAAATAATTATATGCAGACTCTAATTATAAAGTTCTAACACTAATATATTTAATTAAACTACTATCATTGTCAAAATATTTGTGATTGAAATAATTTTGACAATATTTTCAATAACACTGCAAAATATTTGTGATTTCAAAATATTTTTGGTGAGCAAGTAAATAAAAATAAAAATGATACTCGAAATTATTATTTTATTATTTTCTTCTTTTTATATATATATAGATATTTCTTCATACATAAAAAAATATAAAAAAAATTTAAATAAATATCTAAACAAAGTTAAATACATTAATTAAAATATGTTAAGTTATTCGAAGAGTTCGTAGCCATTTTTATAACATAATTAAAAACTCAATTTCTATTGTTCATTTTTGTTCAATAATGTATGTTGTTTTCGACAAATTTTTGCAGCAATGCATTATTAAGGGGATCCTAGAGTCGTTTGTTTTACCGACTTCTTTTAAAAACACTTTTTTTGACTGTGTAGAGTAAAAAATCTTTTTCTGTAATCAAAGTACATACGCTAATACAGTTTGGATGGTCGATTTCAAAAAATTTTTTATTCCACGCAGCCAAAAAAAAAATTTTTCGAAAAATAGAAAGTAAAACAGATACCGATCTGTTCGATTTATTAGCGTTGTCTAAGATAAGAATTTATTTCAATCGATTAAAATTCAAAATTAATTAATTAATTAAGTTTATTTAATCGTGAAATTTATTCTTATTTTGAACAACGATAACGAGTTTATAAAATAAAAGTGCACAAGTTGTGACATTAATTTATTTATGGAAATTAAAATTTTAAACACAAGAAATAGCATATTATTTTGTCATACAATATTACATTTTAAAACACATTATAAATATGCAATAAATATGTAATATTTTGTTTTCAGCTCGAGTAAAAATCAATAAAAATTGTATTTAATAATATAACTTCTTATAAGTAATTACCGATTAATAAATTGTACATAGAGTTCGGAAATTTTTTAATTTATGGAATAGATATGCAAAGCAAAAATGATGTTTGTGTTTTTACTGATAATAAAAAATAAAGTATAAAATTGCGCTATATATTTGATAAAAATGTTTCCTACAAATGTTTGCCAATTAAACTATTATAATTATTCACAAGGGTACATTAATAAGGTTTATTTATTAGTAAAAAATGTTAATTAAGCTGCATATACTATTTCTATTTGTTACTCGATACTTTACGTTTTGTACAAATATAAATGATTACGATGATAACCGAGACATAATTGTGTAATAAATTTCTTTGTAAAAACAGATAAATGTGTTTAACAATTATGCATGTCACATTATTCTACCACATCTAATTTATATTGTGCGATGTAATAGAGCAATTTTTAATAGTTTCACCCATTTGGTAAAAATGCAGAATACAAACGTCATCGAGTTTACTCACGGTGAAAAATACGACCAGCTGTTCACCGAGGCGTAAATACGGATATTAATTCTATATAAGAGTGTAGGAAGATGCTATTCGAACTTACTTTTTCGACTCAGCTTGCACTCATTTGCAGACATGCTGTTCTTAGCTGTTATCTTCGTGATTGGCGTTTTTGCGCAACGTAAGTAAAGACGCGTCGAATAATTCAACGAAATATCATTCTCGTACCTGCAGGAAATATTGTATTAATTCATCTGTACGCATTTGTCGTGCCTAAAACAATGTAGATCGTTTTACGAGAAATATTTCTTTATTGTATACATTGATTCACAGAGACGTTCGCTGACGCACCCGAAGCGATCGTCGGCGGTGAGCGTGCCACGCCGGGCGAATTCCCGTGGCAATGTTCCTTGAGATATAACGGGCAGCATATTTGCGGTTGTTCTATCATTGGCCCCAAACAAATTTTAACTGCCGCTCATTGTGTGGAGGATATTTGTGATCCACCCAACAAATGCACGATTGGTACTGGAATGATTAATGTTTACAAGGGACAATCTCATGAAATACACAATGTTACTATACATCCCAGATATGATGGTAGACGAGAAGTATCTTGGGTGAATGACATCGCTGTGATCATCGTAAGTCTATATTAATTACAAGATGTATAATTTAGCATTCTTTAAAAGTTTTCAGATAAAACTGTATAATTTCTTTTTCATACTGTTTCGTTCAGTTCAGTCGTGAATTTCACTCATTTGCCTTATTTGTTTCAGCTCAAGAATGCGATAAAGTTTAGCAATGTTCAACGTCCTATTAAATTGACCGACAAGCGACCAACCCCAGGCACGGTGTGCACATTGTCAGGATGGGGTCGTACAAAAGAAGGTGGACCTTCTTCAAGAGAACTTCTCAAGATGAAGCAGACCGTAGTCAGTCAGGACAAGTGCAGAAAAGCACTCTATGGACAGCCAATTAATAAGAGCCACTTGTGTACGTTGAATAGAGCTGGAGTCGGCGTTTGCCAAGTAAGTATTCAGTAACATTTATCGTTTGATATTTGAAATATCTATAGATAATTGATTCGCTAATTTGTACAATAGAGTTACGAAAAATATTACAGATTTAAATAAAAATTAATGGGAATATTTTTGCATTTATTAGGGTGACAGCGGCGGTCCACTTATCTGCAACGACAAACAGTGCGGTATTACTTCCTGGGCTGCTGGTTGCGCTCGTGGTATGCCTGATGTTTACACTAGTGTATATGATCATCGGGACTTTATTGAGAAGTGTGCGCCAGCTGTATAAAGATCTCGGCACTATATGAACGGTATAAAGATCTCGGTACTATATAAACGGCACTATATATATATATAAAGCTTAAAAATTTTCGATAAATTATGTTGACTCATCAAACGCGACATCAGTTGCGTTTTTAAACTGAGAGAAACTTTGTTACATTTTACATGTAATACAATAAATAATAAACGCTTTTAAGTCTATCATAATTATTGAGTTTTATTAATGTTTATCATTCTTTTATCCAGTATCCAGCTTCTTTTCAAAATACCTGTATGTTTTGTGCATTCTCACAATGTGCAAAATAAATTAAATAGCCAATTAGAAAAACAATATGATCTAATTTTCTATGATAGAAATAAAAATATATAACTATGAATTTTGTTTAATCATTAATTACGTCATATAAAATGGCAAAAATTATCATGATTAAATTATCATTATCAAATTAACGATAAATTAAGCATTAATATTTGATAACGATATCGATAATAATATTAATGCAATGAGATCGTTATTTCCGAAATTACATATCAGATACGTAATTCATTTTGGTAAAATGCTTCAATAAATATTAATAATTTACATAACATACGGAAAACACAAAACATTCAA